AGCAGAAAGCAAGCCTGCTCACAGATTCTGACTGCGTACTGGGAGCCGGGGCCAGAATTTAGATTGGACTGGGTCCATTTTCATTTGTGCATTTGTCTTTTTTCTTGTTTTGCTTTATTTTTTTGAGCGCTGAACACTGGGACCAGCAACTCTCCAAACAATCCAGTGATATCACCTTCGAGTGAGTCATGGGGAGGACAGGGTGTAAAAGTGCAGACAAGGAAAGATCATGAGATTGTGCTAGCTCAACCAACCTAAAAAAAGTGAGATATGTGTTTGGATATGTGGAGAGGAGATTGCATCCGCTAGCCACCCAACACAGAGTGTCACAGCTTTGGGGAGCATGCCCATGCCTTCAGAGATTTGTACCTGGCTGTTTTTTCCCCAGATATGAGCAGGGAGATATTACCTAGGAAAAAAAACCACACACAGAGCATACAAACACATATGGATGTCCTGCACAAACACACATACACACATGCTGTAAGAACATGAAATAAATTACTCTTTTGCTTTCACTTCAGAGTACATACCATATTGGTTCAACTTTTGCACCACCAAAAAAAATGAAATTCGATCTTCAGATCATGTTTAGACTGAGTCCAGTCACTTTGCATGGTAGGGGCAGCTTCCTCTGAGCTCACTTGCAGCTTTCTTGATTTCTTAATGATCCTGAAGACAATTATCTAGGGTTACAACAGGACCTGCAGGCCTTGCTCAGACCCAGCTCTATCACTAGAATGCAGACTCTGCAACATGTGGAATGACCTTTTATAAAATGCTGAAAGGAACAAAACCCCAAAAGGACTTTCAAGCCCCCCAGCAGTATTATTATTCTAAAATTTTTATTTATTAGGAGAAGACAAAGTCCTCAGCAGGATTTCTGTAAGTCAACATGGAGCCTTCTCAACACGGCAGTGGAAAATATGAAGGACGAGGCTCTGCATCCCACCCTACCTGGGAGCATCCTACACCGAGATTTAACCAGGATCCTCCACCCGTCAGGAGAGTGCGTATCACTGGGTAGGCAGTAGGGTGAAGAAGGAGCACCTCAGAGGTCTGTCCCTGCTCTCCAGGCTGTCTGTTTCACATGTGGATTTGGTTAGGTTGGATGGACACTTCCCTGCTTGGAGCACTACCTCAAAAGCAGCAGTCCCATTCAAGCAGAGCAAGGGCAAGCCAAGTCTCCATTGTCCTCTCCCTGTAAGGGCTCTGGGGTCCCATGGCAGGGGGTTGCTGGATCTCAGCACACATACTGCACACGATGTCAGTGCTCACCACACAAAGACCACCCGACAGGAGGATGTCCCCAAGGTGGATGTCAGCACCTCCCCCCCTTGGAAAGTACACCAAGCTTTGCCATGATGTGTTGAGCTGGATGCCCAAGAGAGGTGTCCAGAGGGCTGATTTTGAGTGAGTAGGAACAGTTCCTCTTTGAAACAAGACCAGGTTTCACAAGCTTGTACCATGACACAAGTCCTGTAACACTCAGGCTCACTGTTCTTTCTTTGATATTGACCCATTCTAGCTTTGATGCTTTTGGACCCAGATCATCAAAAAGTACTCTTACACTGAGATGTCAGGCTAAAGTGCTGGTGCATCAGTCCGTGTTGCTATACCTGATGTTTTACTCCCATTTTCTATTTCTCGAACTTGGAAGTATCCTACCATGTTTCCTGAGCTCTTCAAGTGTCCGTTACTCAGTACTGTCTCCCAGGCATCTTAACAACTTTCATGCTTCTACATAATAACTGCTACAAAGCCCAGTTCAAAAACCCTCCCACTCTCAAAATGTTGTTGCACATTTGTGTGTATGAAAGTAATTTCTTCCATACTTTATTCATTCCCTAAAAAAGACCTTGCAACTCTTCCTCACGTGCAGCCTCCCAGTGCCTATCAAGAGCACGTGATGCTCCAGCAGGTACAAAGTTACCAGCCAAGGACCTGTTCTGGGAACTCCCTGCCTAGTTCTGTTCATCCCAGTCTGATCAAATGAGGAAACTATGGATGCACTCAGTACACGTCTCTTGCAAGGGGCATGCTTATTTGCATGGTAATGAGGATGGTAATGAGCCCCTTGTCTTCAGATGTACACAAGGTTCTAGCGGGTGAAAACCAGCCAAAGTTGAAATTCAGGGAATTCATAGCTTTATTTTCTTTTCAGTTTGTATTTTTTATCTGGATGCAAAAAACAAAGTGTGTAGTACAGAAACTGCATTGCGCAGTGAACACTAGATATAAATTATTATTTTAACAACCGTCAGGCTGTTTAAGCGAGCACCAATCTCTCAAGTAGCCTGGCTCAAGCAGTAATTACTAGTCTCATTTCTAAAGAGACCCTTCTTTTATTTGCTTTGTTACCATAGCTTTTTGTTTTCTTTTCCTCTCTCTTAAAGTTAAAAAATTCTACATAAAGCTGCAGCTCCTCTGAGAACCCAGCGCGCACTGCAAACAGGGTTCACAACAGCACTGTGAAAGACATTATGGTAATTAGCCCTATTATCCGGTGGGGGAACTGAGGCACGGAACCTCTCCCCAGCAAGGGTATGAGCAGGGTTACATGCTTAATGAGCTCCTTCACCTGTATTAGACCCAAATGTTCACACTGAGCTATGGCAGGGTCATGCTGGGACAATGCAATGTCTAAGGGTTGAGAGCCAGGGATCCCCTTGCAGAGAGCACAGGGCTCTGGGAGGAGGCTGGTCCCCGGGCAGGATGTAGGGGTGGGAGAGATGGTGGAGAGGAATCTGGGCAGGAAAACAGACCCAGCCATTATTGCCAAACCTGAGGCTGAGGAGAGGAAAATTGATGCCAGGCTTGGAAACCCACCGCTGGTCCACATTGCCCAAAGCATTGGATGATGCCTACAGGTCCAGGGTGGTGGGTTGGGGGCAGTGCAAGAAGGGGGGAAGGCTCAAAGCCGTGGTCGGGTGGAGAACGGAGGAGATGCTACATGCAATGCAAAGGGGGACTATCCTCAGCACCACTGAGGTATTTAAAAGCTCCTGGCTAAACACCCGGGGGTGATGTTTCTGCTGTGGTTAGAAATGAATGTGGTCATTCAAGCGGCCTAGCACCAACCTATAAAGCTCACCACTGTCCTAGAAGGAATAAATCCCTTTAATAAAAAACCACCAAGGTGGGGTCATTGCCTCTGCAGACCCCTAACCCCAGTGCCCATGGTTCAAAGCTACGGGCTACAACACCAATGGCTGCTCATTAAACTGCAAGTAGTTGCTCATTAAATTGCAAATGCCATTATCTCCATGAAGGCCCCAGGTCTTCCCAGCAGAGATGTCAATCCTGCTTATTGTCCTCATTCCATGCCTCCTTCAGCACACATTGACAGCCAGCGTGTACTCCAGCCCTACGACTCGGGTTGGCCTTCGGCAGATATTTAAGCGGCATGGCTGCGTCTGGGTTTTCCCTGCCTAACCATCAGAAAATGCTGAGATCTGTTTTTATTCTCCCACATCCCCATGATGGAGTAGCCCACGTACCTAATGCTGAGTCTGGCTGGAATTTCTGGACTTCTTAGGGATGGGTGTAAGAAAGCTTTGCTGGAAGCAGTGCTCTGGGTTTCCTGGATGATGTTTTTTTCCCAGCAAACAGCTTGAGGAGCATTTATGTAGTGTCAGTCCCAAATTTCTGGCTCCTGGCACCTGTTTTGACACCAGGCTTTTGAGCACAGGGAAAATAATAATGATATCCAGAGCTAATGTTATTTACTAAAATACAAATTAACGCTCAGTCACATGGTGGCATGATTTGTCATTCAGAGCTAAAATTAAAAGAAATTAAGGCTGAGTCAGAAAGTTATTTCAGATCTGAGTGGGGAGTGGAAAGTGATGGGGCCATGTGGGAGCAACACTGACATCTTCTGGCTGCAAAAATAATCTCCAGCTTTTTCACCAAGAAAACCACGGGGAACCTGCAGCACAAAAGCATAAATAGGAGTTGGAGTGAACAAAATAGTATTCAAGTAACAGGTACAAGCTTGGGGCAGTGGATATGATCTGAGCCCACTTTAAGAGTCCACCTTAGCATCACTGCAAGATTTGAACAGAGGGTGTGTGACGTTGGTGACCCAAAATACGTGAGTGTAGGACATGAAGGGTTGCTGCTCTTCCATCAGTGCAGGTGACAGGGCTGTAGAAGTCCTTTTATGTTGCAGCGGTGAACTGTGCAGTGCAACACGTAGGGAGAGACAGGCACCAAGAACTGATCCCTGCAAACCATCCAAGCAACGATGTTCTCCATCTGATCTGGAATGGGACAGGGCCTGGCTGCCTTGTGTTGATAAACCAGGCAGGCATGGGGACCGCTGAACCTGTTCCCCCAAATTATGCCCTCAGCTTCTGCTATAGGGTCTCAGAAAGCAGCTTGGCCCCCAGATATGGAAGATACCTCTTGGGTGCAAGTCTCCTGCATTTATTCAGAGCAGGATGTCTGAACTCACAGTGAAGGAAACAGGTTTGGCCATAAGGCGCTTGGGTCCTCCAGCAGTCTATCCTGTGGAGTGGATCCTCTTCAAAACATAGTGCATGCTGGACTGGGGGGCGTTAGGTGGGTGGCGGTCTGGAGAGAGTTGTGAGAAAAGTCCTCCATCCCCTGCCACCCCTCATGCTCGTGTAGCTGCTGCAACAATTAACAGCATCCGTCCAAGCTGTGTGGGCTTGCCATGATGGCTCACAGCTGCATTTGAGGGTGCTGAGTCCATTGCTAGGAGACCTTCCACAGTGGGAGCTAGTGGGAGCTAGTTCTGCCAAAGATATAGTATTATCCATTATTATCACTTTAGGGTAGATGCCTTGCTGTCCTGCAGTGGCCAGATCTTCACTCTGGTGGCAACAGCATTGCTAGCCAAGGACCTAATAGCAGAATCACACCTTCAGCCTTTTCTGCAGGTCTCGCCTCTTCAGACTGGGCTGACCACCACCCTTCCTACCCTGCGCTGCCATACCTTTCCTCTAACCATATTTCTTATAATCTCTTCCAAGGTTCTTTCTTCCCATCTCTGAAGCCCTCCGAAATGGTCTTCAAGGTCATCTTCTGGCTGGGATACTTCAACAGCTGTGTGAATCCCATCATCTACCCTTGCTCTAGCAAAGAGTTCAAGCGAGCTTTCATTAGGCTGCTGAAGTGCCAATGCCACCGGAGAAGACGGCCCATCTGGCGCATCTACGACCACCACTGGCGAGGGGCCTCCATGAACAGCTCGGTGCAAGACTCTGAGACAGACATGAGGCCCAGGATTAGCACCCTGAACAGCTCATTCATATTTAACTCCTCCTTGCAAGAGAGAGCCAGTAAGAGGCGAACACTCAGCTTCAAGGGCTGGAAAATGCTCACTCCTTTCCAGAAACCAGCATCCACCCAGCTGAAGGAGAAGATGAACAGCCTTTCTAACAAAATCCGGGGTGGCTCCAGCAAAGCGGGGGTGACAGCCACCTACAAAACAGAGGTGGAGTCTGTCTGTATTGGGATCCCTCATGACTTTGCGGAAGCCATTGACTATCAAACCTATGACTTAACAGACTGCTGCGGGCTGCGAGAAACAGATATTTGAAGCCACTGGGACAGCTGTCGATTGTTTCTTTAGATGTATCTAGCAGAAACATGAAGGGATACCATCTGTGGGTCTGTCAGGCAGACTGGAAGCAGCAATCAGGTGTAAAATGCAGTTGCCCAAAGGCTATACAAGCATCCCCCACATGGAGGTCAGCCCATTCTCTGGGATTATGGGTTCCTCAAATAAGAGTCAATGGCATATCCCATTTTAATGACCCTCAGCAGGAGGGGAAGATGTGGGGTGGATATGCCCTTAGAACAAGAGCTGTTTCCTCCAGTGGATGGTTATCTTTGATTTTGAAAGAAGCTGTGCAATTAAAGGAAAACAGGATGTATCCTTTGCCTTAAAAACACCACCACAAAATCTAACAGCAAGATCAATCCCCAAAAGATGCCAACCCTGCCTTAGTACATGTGATCATGTTTCCATCCAGAGGCAGCACCCAGAAAGGATGCTGCTGAGCAGTAGCTGGCAGCTGATCCATTAGATAATGGGTTGTCAGCTTGTAGGTCTACAGGGCTGGACAGGACCTCTAGCCACGCCTTTGCTTTGGAGGGTGAGCAGACTGTGGTATTCCCAAGCAGGGTGGGGGGATCCTGGCTCTCAGCCATCATGTCTGCATGTGACCACAGCTTTGCCCCTTCCATATAACCTCGTTTTAGGCCAGAAGAGCAGTATAGATGTATACGCTAATGCCAATGGATGTGTGGGTCTCCCTCCTCTCTAAGTCCAACCTGTGATGCATTTCTCATTTTGTTTTCCAGTGAAATACTTGTAACCCACCTTGCTCTAGTGTGCGTCCCTCTGTGATACAGAGAGAAAGCAACTCCTTTTGGTGTTGGTCATCCTCGACCTTTTTCTCTCCTTTTCTTGCTCTTGTTGTTGTCTCTCTCAAACAACATGGAATAAAGATGCATCCTAGGGGCTTGGCTCAGGTCCACACTCAACCTGTGCTGTGACTCAGGAAAGGTGAGATGGCAAAGTTTAGGGCCATAGGGTCAGAACTAAAATGGAGCTGATGTGCAGTTGGAGATCCCTCCTGTAGATACATCTTCTCCTCAGTCAGGGTCATGCCCATGACTCTTCTCCCAGGTGGCTTCCCATATGCCTGATACATCAAAGCCTTTGGTGGCTATCAACAATTGCCCTTGGTTATGTCCACTAACATGGTCAAAAGCAATGTCACTAAAGGGGTTTTTTGCCCTTCTCACAGCCCCAGAGTGTGAGGTCCCCTCAGAAGGGCACCGTGGCCTCCTCTGGGACCACATGGAGGTTGGAGACATTGACAGACCCACCTTGGCCAGGCTCACACAAATCGTGCTTTGCAATTCAGAAAAATGGTCACCCAAACTCTGCTTGGCCATGTATTTCAGGCACTGGTTTTATCAAATTTCGGACAGTCAATGAACCACAAAGACATATAATTAGATTTAGCCATGGGCAGAGGCACAAGACACGTAGGTGACAGAGGCAAAGTCTGGATCTGAGGTGCAGTGTCTCAAGCCAGGTGAATAAAGAACAGGAACATGAAGTAGAAGGGTGGAAACATGACACTGAATGTGTCCTGGATGGAAAGTCATCCATATCAGCACTGTCCCCCAAACCCATCAAGAGTCTTTCATGGATGTGCCTACAGCACATCTAGCTAATCCTCTTAAGGGTGGCTATCAAAGGAAATTAAAGACTCCTAGACAAATCAAAGAGAATGTCACCTTTCTTTCTGTTGTTCATTTGCTTTAAAGGAAATCAAAACAGAGGAAAATTTGGACTTCTTTTATTTTTTACTTTTTTGTATAGTGCATATGGAGACATGATCTCTGGAGTTGGTCCTATCTCAACACCCTTAGCACCCTTCTGCCCCTTACTCAATGAAAGACTCTGATTTTTTACTTTTTTGTATAGTGCATATGGAGACATGATCTCTGGAGTTGGTCCTATCTCAACACCCTTACTGCCCTTTACTCAATGCAAGACTCTGAACTGGACAAATTACTGCACAAAGACCTGCAGATCTTGTCCAAATATTTTCCTCCCAGCAGTAAATCCCACCAAGGCACATGGGCAGCATTGCACTTACACTGAACCAAGACTCATTACTGTCTGTATTTTCACAGGTGACAAGTGTCTGCAAAATCAGCAAGAGGTTACCAGCTTGAGAGGTTCAGCAAGGGCCCAATACACCATGGGAACCTCTGTAGGGAAATGCATCTTTTTTCCCACGTTTCTGTGGCCTTCAAGGGAAGTGAGACCCTACAGTGACGATGGGGTGACACAGAAAGTCATTGTGCAGTGTAAGGACTGCAGCTGACGCTGGCTTCCTGAGCATTTTTGGGATCCTGATGGAAGAGCACACTGCTGGCACTGGGACGTAGCATAGAATGCATCAGGGAGAGGGCAGTCGCTGAAGGGCAGAGATGCCTGGAAGGTCAAAGTGAAAGGATTAATCCTCCTACCTTCTGCCCACCTCACGGGATGCGTGTGCACACGTGCTACTCTCGGAGGGACTAAATTCACCCAGATCTGCATTTTTGGCCCCTGTTCTGGTGACATTGCTTTGCAGGTCTAACCATTGCAAGTGCATAATGCAAGCGATTTGGGGGCACAGTTTAGGATGACCTGATACAGATGTCATCATAAGTGAAAGTCTACTCAAGGGAAAGATGGGCATTTGCCATTAAATGCTCTCTGATGCTCAGGAGCAGATATATCTGGTGTCTCTCCACATCCAGAGACCCATAGCACATGGTAACATGTGCATCCATGACCATACAGATACACATACACACTTTACTACATTTATATATAAATGTCATCTCCAAAATGGCAGACATTATCCTATAAATGGAGACTTTGCAGGGGCTTTTAGCAATTGCTGGCAAGCACTTTCATTCCCAAGAATGAGTTGAAATTATTGCCTAGACTTCTCCCTAATCTTTTAAATATACTTCTTTCTTTTTTCCAATTTCAAAATACTTACTTTTATAACCCCCAGCCCCTTAAAAGCATCTAGAAGGGAAAGAAAGATTAGTCTGGGGGTTTTACTGCCTTGCCATCCCAATTCTTTACAGACCTACAAGGGAGAAAATGAGGATAAAGTCTGTTTAAGCACACATAAGCATACACACACATAGATGCCCGAACTCTGGCTCATTTACTTTCCTCCATTGCGGCTGTGCCTGCATTGGATCAGTCCCTCAGAGATACCCTAGAAGGTGCTGTAGAAAAGCCTTGAGCTCTGCTGTGCTGCATTTAGGCAAAATGCTTGTTTCTCACCTAAGCCAGGGCCCCCCTTTTCATTTAGCATCTTGCATCAGAAGAGGCAATGCAGGACTGGCCTCTGAGGCTGTTCATGGTGAGCTCCATCTAAAGTAGACAGAGCTGTCTTTGCTGGCAGGGGAGGAAGCACAATGTTGTACGAAATATGACCTATCTAAAATTGAGCATTTCCCTCTGATTCCCTTAATCTCCAAGCTCTCCCAAGTTTGGAAAAACAGGCTCAAATCTTCAGGAGGTGAATTTGGTCTGATCCCACTGACTTCTCTGGACCCACAAGGGTGTGACCAGCTGAGGGTATGGCCTTGTTTCTCCAAATTTGCCAAGCGGGCAATTTCCCAAAGCACCTGTACCTTAGTTGTCCCGCAACTCTCGCCTCATCGTGCTGGCTTTATGTGAGTATTGCATCATCAGACCTTGCTGCTTCAACGAACCGAGTGTGCAGGATGGTGAACAGCAGCTTTTATGTCAGTAGACTCTCACGAGTCCTATTTAAGGGGGAAGGAAGGTGCCTGTCAGCCTGAGCTGGACTGCAGTTGGGTTGCGTTACTATTGTTTACATTGTGTATATAAGTGTACATTTTCTTTAGCAGACATTGGAATTTTTTATGTATAGATTTTTATTTTTCATCCCCAGATGTATTTATTAGCCAGAGTATTTCTGTTTTGTGATTCAAGTTCTGTCGGATTGATGTAAGCTCTATGAAACAGAATGCACATATTTTTGTTTGTTTGTACCAAATACATGCACAAACCAGTCTAAAACGTTGCTGTGAATTGTTGCTGTGTCTGATTTTTAAAACAGGGGTTGTAGGGGATGAGGGAAGGAGGAAGAAAAACCTGCAAATTATCAGCCATTGTTTTTTCTCAAAGACTTTTTTGTAATTTCACAAGGATAATCGTTCCCACATGCAAGAATTTATTATAAAAACAAGTCAGAAGCTTTGTTCTGTGCAGGGATGAAGGGGTTGCACCAGCCATGTCTTCTCTCAGATGCTCCCTGGAGCAGGAGGAATCTAGATGCAGCCACGACCTATGGGTGTGAAGGAGGGCAGGCAGAGGGAAAGTTGTTGTGTAGTTAGTCATCAGGAACAAGCTCTGGTGAAAGAATGTCTATCAGAGTAGGGTTTTTTAATGAAAACCAAAAATTCAGCTCATTGAAGATTTCTCTGGGAAAAAATTGTTTTTTCTTCTAAAGTTAAAATTTCAACATCACTCACAAAACCACTACCCGTGGTGAAATGGAAATAGCATTTCTTATGCTCCCATCTCACTCCAGGTACTCCATTTCACAAAATGCAGCCTGATGGCACCTCTAGATACTGGATAGTGGTGTCTCAGGGCTGGGTATGGTGGGAAGGACTCTGAGCTGGAAAGCCCAAAGGGGAGAAGGACAAAAGAAGACAAAACACTTGCCTCACCTCTACGATGCTAGAACAATATCATATAGCAGAGTCTGAAATGCAGTGAGGGGAGAAACAGAGCTCTGAAAACATCCAACAAGAAATATCCCAGAAATATTTCTTTGCAAAACATATGACCAAACATGGCCCAAGGCTGGCCATCCTTCAGGGATGGCTCCAGGCAGAGGCAAAGCGAGCAGCCACCAAACACAAGTCAACAGCTCCAGGAAAAGATTGTCATGACTTCGCTGTGTGTTTTGCTAATGCTTGTGTGTGGCTGAGTCAGCCTGATGCTGGCAAGGGGGATGGATGCTGTGTTCC